GAGCCCAGGAGTTGGAGGTTGCTGTGAGCTGTAATGCCACAGCACTCTACCCAGGGGGACAGCTTGAGGCTCTGTCTCAAAAAAAAAAAGGAACAATATTTGATAACACAACAAAGTGATTATAATCAACAATGAAGGTGTATTTCAAACTAACTAAATGAACGGATCTAGAAAGTTCCAATGTTTATCACTGAAGTGATGGATACCCCATTACCCTGATTTGATTAATTCATATTGTATGTTTGTGTCAGTACATCATATGTACCCTATAAATACATACAACTATTACATACCCATAATTTAAAAAATAATAAGAAGAATAAAAAAGACCAGCCTGAGAAAGAGTGAGACCCCCATCTCTACAAAGAAATAGAAAAATTAGCCAGACATGATGGCTGTGCCTGTAGTCTCAGCTACTTGGGAAGCCAAAGCAAGAGGATCACTTAAGCCCAGGAGTTTGAGGGTACAGTGAGTTATGATGACAGAGAAGATACCAGAAGTTTGAGGGTACAGTGAGTTACAATGAGGCTACTGCACTCCAGCCTAGGCAAGAGAATAAGACACTATCTCAAAAAAAAAAAAAAAAACCAACCTTCTACATCTAGAGGACATTATAAACATATCTTTAGTGTTCCTATATGAATTCACTAGAATCTGTATAGTTGACCACCTCGCTCTACTGACCACCTCCTGAGGTTGACCTATTTTCACAAACTGAACATGTACCACATGTACATAGCAGTACCCTAGTTCCACATGTTGTCCACCTCCATGTGTTGACCAATTGTACTTGATACATGCATACTACATGTCATGAGAATTAGGTCAACTTAAAGAGGGGGTCAACTATGGAGGTTCTACCGTAGTTCAAAACACTTAGAGAAAGGGAAAATCAGATTATAAGACAGAAAAGAACTTTGAACTGGTATTAGCAACACAAACTCATGATTTTTTGAAAGGGTAATTGCTCTGCTGACTCAAATAACTCCTTATCTTGTACCATCTGCCTACCTTCAGCCATTACATGGAACAATCTCAGGCATCATCCGCTGCCAGAGACTTTTATCTCTACACCAGTCTCCTCTGAAAGGAGCCAGCACTCCTTGAAAGCGAGCTGGCTACCTGGAGATGGCTCTAAGACGTCTTATTGTTAAAAGCAAAATGCTTTAAGAGTGCCTTGAGAAAGGATAAAGAAAGCCAATCAGCTGAAGAAAGGGCATTTAATGGCCAAACTATGACAGGAGTGTCCTGAGAGTCAAATTCAAAGTAATAATTACAGTTCATTAAAAGCAACTGAGACTGAAAAGCAGCCTCAGTAAAGAGGATAAAATGCTGTAGAATGTATCACAGAAAAGACATACCTTCCAAAGTAGGCTCAATTTTACACAATTGAAGGCAGAGGGACTGGTTTTAAAAAGCTGAAACACTTTGATAATGGTAGTATCATTTCCTCACTGGATAATTCAAACGACTGTGTTAATAGTAAGGGATATTTGTAGCATTTACTAAGATATCAGAATTTTCTTCTTAAGACAAAAAAACTAGACTTCTGAGTTGAGGGTTCAAGAGCACTAAAACCTGAGAAGCAGGGAAGACTGTAGGGACAGGCTTCAAGGTAACCTAAACTTCAACTGTGTGGGAGAAGCAAACAATCTGCACATTAATACAATAAGGAATATGTACTTTTGTCTCGTGAACATGCTAAGCAGAAACTTAACATGCCAGTATGCTGAAAAGTTGGAAGGAAAAAAATCTCCTTGTGGGATCTTCACAGGGATCAGACAGTACAGTCAGCCACTGGGACTGTAGGAGACCCGAGGCTGGGGCATTCTGCCCCAGCAATGGCAGAGACAGCAAGGTGGCAGATCCTCTGAGAAAGCTCTACACTTGACTACAGCAGGCAGAGCTCAGAGGAATGAGATGCCACACTTAGAGGAGCCCAGTATGTGGAAGTCCCCCTACCCCAGACAGAAAAGAGATTTTGTTGTTGTTGTTGTTTTCCCCACTCTGTTGCCCTGGGTAGTGTGGTGGTGTCAGCCTAGCTTGCAGCAACCTCAAACTCTTGGGTTTGAGCCAAGCCTCTAGCCTCAGCCTTTGGAGTAGCTGGATTACTATGCCTGGCCAGCTTTTTTTTCTATTTTTAGTAGAGATGGGGGAGGGGGGTATCTCACTCTTGCTCAGGCTGGTCTGGAACTCCTGAGCTCAAGCAATCCACATGCCTCACCCTCCTAGAGTGCTAGAATTACAGGCATAAGTCACCACACCCAGCCTACGTGAAAGTCTTAAACTCCTAGTCCTCTTCCTTTATTAGCCTCCCAGTCTCTAGCTCTGAGCAAGGGCCACAGTCCAAAAGGAAAGGCTCGCTGATATTGTCGACCTTCTCTATTCCTTATAATCAAAGGTGGCTTGCATTCCTCTTCAAAAACAAAGCTTTTCTAGGCTGGGCACAGTGGCTCATGCCTATAATCCCAGCACTGGGAGGCCCCGGCAGGTGGATTGCCTGAGCTCACAGGTCTGAGACCAACCTGAGCCAGAGTGAGACACACACCGCCCCCCTGGCGCCCTATGTCTAAAAAATAACTGGGCGTTGTGGCAGGCACCTGTAGTCCCAGTTACTTGGGAGGCTGAGACGAAAGGATCTCTTGAACCCAAGAGTTTGAGGTTGCTGTGAGCTAAGTCGCCATAGCACTCTACCGGATAACCGAGTGAGACTCTGTCTCAAAAAAAAAAAAAAAAAAAAAAGTTCCTTTCCCAGTTGATTAAAGTATTAGCCACTAGTGATCAACTCAACCTTCAGCCCCTCTCCCCTTAGGCGGGAGGGCCTAACCCTCTATTCCAGTCTAGGTCTTTCAGTGACCAGCCCCTATCCTGAAGGGGAGCCGTGCCAGCAGTGAATTATTAGCCTACAAAAAGGCATCACTATGAAGAGTCTAAGGATTTTAGGAGATGTAGGTCTACAGCTAACTCTTCCCAATATCCCAGTTCCTCTAATTTCCTTCTCTTAGTTATAAAGGTAGATTCCTCATGAAAAGGAAGAAAACTTGTCTCTGTTCCTCAACAATAGTAAAGTCAAAGAGAAGGCCCAGGTATATTTCAAAATATGTGACAGAAGGAAGGGTCGAGTGACCCATCAGCATTTAGAGATCAGTTCACATGTGGCATTGGCCATTTCCAGCTGGGAACCACTTTATAATAACAAACCTAACAGGCCAAGAAGGCAAAGAGGCAAGAAAGTCCAATTTTCCATTTCCATGATCAACTTCAGAAGCAAATATACAACCAATAAAACAAGATGGGTTCAACTAGCCCCTTTTTGTGTAAAATTTTTATGGTTACTCTTTGCGGTTTTTGGTAGTTACTGACACTAATGAAGTATTTCTCTAATTTATTTAGACATCCAGTAAGACAGAAGAAAGGCAGGTGAAAGTCATAAATATCAATTATTAATGCAAGCTAAGAAGTGTAGCAAAGCTTTCAGAAGGTGAGAAAAACTTGCGTCTTCCCAAGGAATAATGTTACTATACCAATGACATCTGTCCTTTTTATATTGCTGCTATTCACATTTCATAAACTCATAACCCTTAAGGTTAGCAGGAAACTTACTTATACAATGTGCTCACACCCTTAACATACTATGCTGGTAAAGCACTGATGTCAGGTTGGTGTTCTTTTCCCGCAGCCTCCTTCAGTAAGCATTCACAGACCACTACAAAATGTCTTGACACTATGTGGTCTGTAAAACACGATGGACTTCTACACCCTCAGGGAGATGAGTGTGAAAAGGGAAAAAGAGTGTGGAAAAGAGATCACTACCACACAGTAAATACCAAGCACAGGGGAAGCCCAGAAAGCATCTGCCCAGCCAGAGATGGTCTCTTCCCAAGCCCTAGTCCTATCAATCAATGTCCAGCAAACCAGCCCAGGGAAGGCTCCAGAACACCACCGTGGAATTAGTCACAGCGGTATTCCCCCACACCCACAGGCGATCAGGTAAATACACCCATTGCACAGACATAAGTACAAACTTGCCATTTATTTGTTCAACAAATGTTGAGGGCCATAAGTAAACAGTTAAACAGTCCCAGCTCAAATCCTAACTCCCCGTGTAACTTCAGACAAGTCACTTCCTGCATTGGCAATAGTTCTCTCCAAGGTCCCAGAAGACCACGGAATAGTCCTCTCATTATCTGTTAGCGCTCCTCCATTTTCTAGGCATGAAAACAAAGTGAAAGATTCCCTAAAACCAGGAGTCAGTGTCGTTTAGAATTAATGTTCCCCCAGATTTTTTGACTGACTCACCTCATTCCTTTCTCCACCGTCTCTGAAACACCAGAATCCTAATATTAGCTCCTTTAAGAACCCTCTTCTACGTGAACTGATCTGCACTTCAAGTTTAAGGGGGAAAAACAATCTATGCTAACGCGAAATAAAAATCCCCGACCTCTGGAATTCTCAATCTAGCTGGGTAAAAGAATTAAACGTGAAAAAACAGGATACACCAAGCACCTACAACTAAAGACACAGAAAAACTAAAAAGCAAGTGAAATGAAGCGGGGGCGGGCCCCATCCGCGAGAGCAATGCTGAAAACCATTCCGGTCTCCTGAGGAGGAGATGACCTCCGGGCAGGAGGAAACAGAGAAAGCCCAAGTCCCCTAAAGCGCAGGAGGCCGCAGGGGTGGAGGTGGCGAAACTCCGGAAGGAGGGCAGCAGAAGGTTCCGCGGGTGGACGTGTACAGATTCAAGAGCGGCCAGGAAGAAAGCAGGGCTGGGGCCGCAGAGGTGGGGCTCGGGGCTGGTCCGCTCTAGGAGAGCATAGGTGGGGGGACGCCGCAGAAGGGGGTGGATGGGCGGGGGCTGGTAAGGTGGATAGAGTCCACTCGGAGCGTCGCGGCCCGGCCATTCCATAGGTTAGGGCGGGGACACACTGGGGAAGGGGAGCGAGTAGGAGAACCCGGGAGAGGCTCGGAGGAGCGCGAGACTGGTCAGGAGCGCTCGGGGAGGGCTCGGCAGCTCTAGGAGAGGCTCCGGAGTGGCACACGCCGGAGGGGGAAGGGGCTGAGGTCTCCCGAACCGAATAGGGACGTTTACCTGAGAACGCTCCTAAAGCAGCGCACGAACCAGTGCGGAGAAAGCAAGGACGCAGCTCGGTCTCCTCGGCTCGGATTGCTGCACGTCGGTGACCTCGCCGCTGCCCTGACGTCACCGCCGCGGTGCGCATGCGTCAGGCGCGGGGCCTGTCGGGAATTGTAGTGGAGCTGGGAATCTGGGCGGTCCTAGGCTGCGAAGGGGAGTGGGGCATCCAGAAGTTTATCAGCTCTTAAATACGGGCGTAATTTTCTACTGCTTAGGAATTATTAGCGCCTGATCGTCGTTTCTGAATCTCTCTCTGCAATAAAAGGGCCAAGGCTGTTAGAGGAGCGATGACTCTAGGACTGGGTCGCAGAAAGTGGAAGCGGAGACCGGAGCACCCTGCAAACCGGAAGAGAGCTAGAGCTGGGACAGGATGCAGAGGTTGGCCTGGAAGACCTCACAACGGCCAAACTTGAGGAGCAAAATTAATTACATAGATTAAGTAACAACCTAGAGCAGTGGTTCTCAACCTTCCTAATGCCGGGGCCCTTTAATACAGTTCCTGTGGGTCGAGACCCACAGGTTCAGAACCGCTGACTTAGAGTATAAAATATACTTGTCAGTATAAAAAATAATCAGTCTGAACTGATTATAAATAAATGAGGGAGAAGAAATAAATCTTCCTTCCAGAGGAATTCTATTAATGCCTAATCCAGAAGTGTGTAGTAATTCCCACGCACCCTCAAGTGTGGGCTGTGCCTAGTTACCTCCCTCCGAAGACTGCGGTGTAGAAAGGACAGGAAAGAAATTTTACAGTGGAAACACCTAACAAAGACTACCTCGGCTAGTGATCAAGGTCACTATCAACAGTGATTAGACATACTGATAGCACTATATGTACCCTTCATGTGATTTGAAGGAAAAACCATAACCCAAATCTAACATTATTCCATCTGAGAGATAGTCCATGAAATACTTTTTTTTTGAGACAGAGCCTCAAGCTGTCCTCCTGGGCAGAGTGCCATGGCTTCACTGCTCACAGCAACCTCCAACTCCTGGGCTCAAGCGAGTCTCCTGCCTCAGCCTCCCAAGTAGCTGGGACTACAGGCGCCCGCAACAATGCCCGGCTATTTTTTGGTTGCAGCCATTATTGTTGTTTGGCGGGTCCAGGCTGGATTCGAACCCGCCACCTTAGGTGTATGTGGCTGGCGCCTTAGCCGCTTGAGCCACAGGCGCCGAGCCGTAGTCCATGAAATACTTAACTGGTACTCTTCAAAACTCAGGTCTCAAAAACAAAAACAAGAAAACCAGAGAAACTGTCATATGTAATGTGGTTGTGTTCTGCATGGGTTCCTGGAACAGAATAAAGGATGTTGGTGAAAAATTTATAAATTTAAATAAAATGTTGAGCTTAGTTAATTTTTAATTTTGATAAATGTGCTATGATTACGTAAAATGTTAACATTAGCAGAAATTGTGTGGAAGGTTAACTACCTTTGTAACTTTTCTGTAAATCGAAAATTATTCCATAATGAAAAGTGTGTGTATTTATTTATTTATTGAGAAAGAATCTCACTATGTTGCCCTGAGTAGAGTGCCTGGCATCACAGCTGACAGCAACCTCAAACTCTTGGGCCTAAGCTATTCTCTTGACTCAGCCTCCCAAGTAGCTGGGATTACAGGAACCTGCCACAACACCCGGCTAGTGTACATTTTTTCTTTTTAAGGCATTGGAATAGGAAAAAAAAAAAGAAAGAAATATTAATTATCTTTACTACTGAACTTTTGAGATGCTTTAACCCCCTGCAGAGTCTTTGGAGGTGGGGTCCAGGTACTGCCTAGGAAGGGGCTTAAGGGTGCCTCCAGGCAACCCCACTTATGGAGTGTTGAGATGTTCTATATATTGATCTGAATGGTGGGTACATGTGTGTAAGTAAAATTTATCAAGCTGCACACAGTGATACAGGACAGGTGGCGCCCCAGCCAGCTCAGCCAAGCTGAGCTGGAGGACCTGCTGCCTCTGCCTTGGTGGTATTGGTGCAGCTCAGTAACCAGGGGGCTGGTGCTTAGGCAGGGCGGGGGAGCCTCCCACCCCCACCAGAGGCTCCAATAGCCAAAGGGACCAGACAACTGCTGGAGAGACACTGGTACCTTGGAAGGAGACACTGTCTCCTTCCCTTTGCACTTATAACTGAATAGGGAACCCCCATTTCCTATGCCTAGGTCAATTTCATGTAAGTTTCCTAGCCTCAATTCTGTGAAGGGACTGTGTCCATTCATTAATGCATTCATTCACATTGCCCCAGCGGAAGGGACTGTGTCCATTCATCTCCTGGCCTCACATAGAAGGAGCCCATGCACCTATATATACCCCTATGTGGGAGAGACGGGGAGAGAAACAGGGAGAGCTTTTCTCTCCCAACTTGGGTTTTTTTCTCCCTACTGGGAAATTTAGTGTTTTTGTATTCTTTTCTATAAATAAATTCTGTCTTACCACTGATCTATGGTCCATGGATTTAGTCTTCAAATCACCAAGACCAAGAACCTGAAACTCTGGTATCAGATTTGGCGAGCCAGCCAAGAGAGAAGACAAAATTCTGGTATCAACAAGGTTTGTTCACTTTTACATATTATGTCTAAATAAAGGGGAAAACACTTTAAAAACTTTGGGAAAGTTCTATTGTTACTAGTCTTCAAAATACCAAACTGCCAGTAAGAGCTCTGTCTTAACCCAGCTCTAGTTTGGGGGAAAAGAATACAAAGTGGGGAAATCCTATGATGCCTGCAATATGATCTTTTGCAAGAAATTGTGGCTTGGTCAACACAAGAGTTTAGAGGTTGGCATCACATGAGAATTTTCCTGGCTCTGCCACTCATGGATAAGTTTGGGTGAGTTGCTTGAGATCACTAGGCTTCTTGACCATCCCTCAGTAAGGCTCAAAGTCTAGCCTTGACTGAAGAAGGAGAAATAAATCTTATATTTCTTAATGATCCTGAGAAAGCAGCAGACAGCTGCAGAAGAACTCCTCCTCCAAAGATAAGAACAAACTTTACACTGAGCTAAAATGACAATGAAAAGAAAAAAAAGGAGACTACGGAACAAATAACAGCACCCTGGTTTCTCCAGAAATATAATCATTAACTCTTTGTGATTTGTTTCTTGCTAATTGAGAACTTTCCTTTGATCTAACATCTGTTAACTATAACTATGTAGCTGATACCGAGCTGAAGAACAAAAGGTATAAAAGAGTTTGGAAGAACTGTTCCCTGGAACTCAGCATTTTATGCCTTGAGGCACCTGAGTTCTCATTAGCAATTAAAGGTTCCTTCCTCTATGCCTGTAATCTCTGGGAAGTAGAGGCTAGTGGAGTGCCTGAGCTATGAGTTCAAGACCAGCCTGAGCCAGAATGGACCTCATCTCTTAAAAAAATAAATAGCCAGGCATTGTGGTGGGAACCTGTAGTCCCAGCTAATTGGGAAGGTGAGGTAAGAGAATTGCTTGAGCCCAAGAATTTGAGGTTGTTGCGAGCTGTGATGCCACAGCATTTTACTGAGGGTGACAAAGTGAGACTCTGTCTCAAAAAAAAAAAAATTATCTTTGAGTGATTCGATTGTGGATGACTTTTTTTTTAACTTTTCTGCATTTTCCAAATTTTCTATAATAAATATGCATCACTTAAACAACAGGAAGAAGTAATACTTGAATCTAGTTCCTTTTAAGTAGGTAATCCAGAAACTGGAGCAGGCAGTATCCCCTAATAAGTTTTCTGGTTTAATAAAATTGGCTTTCTGTCCAAGTTTGCTGACAAAGAGTCCAGGAGGGAGAAGGCCACTGCAAGTGAGGACTCCTGCTTTCCAGCCCCACAATGTCTGTCCTGAACATGTGGACTGAAACACAAGGGAATGTCAAGGAACCACACAGGCACCTCCTCAGCCATCCCCCTCTGTGGCCCTCAATTTAGTCAAGCCATGTTGCCTGCTCCTTAGCCCCACTCCCTTTGTTGTCCAATTATTAGTATGGTCTTCTGTATCAAAAGAAAGTGATAGTTCTTGTGTTGAAAAAAGAAACTTCCAGGGCAGTACCTGTGGCTCAGTGAGTAGGGCACCGGCCCCATATACCGAAGGTAGCGGGATCAAACGTGACCCCGGCTGAACTGTAACCATAATAGCCAGGCACTGTGGCAGGAGCCTGTAGTCCCAGCTACTCAGGATGCTAAGGCAAATCGCCTAAGCCCAGGAGTTGGAGGTTGCTGTGAGCTTGTGTGATGCCACGGCACTCTACCAAGGGCAACAAAGTGAGACTCTGTCTCTACAAAAAAAAAAAAAAAAAAAGAAACTTTGAACACGACATGAAGTAAAATACTATGTCTTCCCACTTGGAATGAGAATCTTCCAAGTAACAGGAGGTAATGGACATTCTTTTATAGTTCTACCTTTCATATTTTCTAAGTAAATCACAGCTGTTCTTGTTCTCATCTTCACTGAGTTTCATTTTTGTTTTTTCTAGAATATCTCAAGGAATTATTTGTATATATAAAAGTAGCAGAGATGAAATTGGAATAGATGGGACATTTTTTTTCTTTTGCCTTTTTATTTATTAAGTCACATACACATAGATCATGAATATATTTGTGCATATGTGGGGTACAATGTATTGATTTTTTTATATAATTTGATGTGCTTACATCAAACTAATTAATATAGCTTTTGCCTCATTTACTTGATTATTGTGTTAAGAATAGAAGGGACATTTCTTAAACTGATAGAGACAATCTACAGCAAACCCACAGCCAATATCATATTGAATGGAGTTAAACTGAAATCATTTCCACTCAGATCAGGAACCAGGCAAGGTTGCCCATTGTCTCCACTGCTTTTTAACATGGTAATGGAAGTCTTAACCATTTAGGCAAGAAAATGTGATCAAGGGTTTCCACACAGGGTCAGAAGAGATCAAAACTTTCACTCTTCGCAGATGATATGATTGTATATCTGGAAAACACTAGGGATTCTACTACAGAACTCTTAGAAGTGATCAAGGAATGCAGCAGCATCTCGGGTTACAAAACCAACA